TGGCGGGGCGGCGGGGGGCGGGGCCAGCAGCTGTTTGTGTGGGCAGCGATAAAACCTGTTCCTGCGCTGTTTGCGTGTGTGTGCACATGTCGTGCATTTATATACTACGCGCAGAAACGTTTTCATATGTTGTTGTTGTATATACAACAAAACATTAAATATAGAATACAAACAGGCATGAAATTCATGTTTTATGCGTATTTCACCTCCATATATAACGCCTATACTCAATTTATTGATATAAACAATATGAATATTTACACAGGCATGTTTGTTTATGCTTATAAATGCGTTTTAGATATTGATGCATCACAAAATTACACCCTGTTTATAGAAACACACAGAATCTGAACATACAGATAAATTTAGAACATTGTGAAAACATACAGAATACCTATATAATGTTACATATGGTTCTATATCGAGATCATTAGAGAGAATAATATAATGTTTTCTGAGCATGTGTTTCATATGTATCTGGTTTATATCTGTGTAATGTTTTATGTATGTATATCATGTTTTATGTCTGTATCTTTTATACACGCATGTGCTTTTATATGCATTATGTTCTTATATGTAATGCTACTTTTTAATATTTTATAGATACATGTTCATGACAGAAAGATATAGAAATGTATAGAAAATGGTATTATATATGAAAATATATAAATGTAGCTTATTAGGTGCACACGCTAGTAGATGTTAGAGAAGGTCTTACGTATTGAACATTAAAAATATAGTTTCTCTGCATGCAAGGCCAGGCTGAGGGGCTACGTTCCCAGCCAGGAATGCACTATAGCTCATTTCGTAAATACAGGACATTTTGTATTAGGATTAGGACATATCTGCCCTACGCTATGGTGTACGTATCTCGATACACTGATTTTCATAATGCCAAGCCGCCGTTACTTGGGGGGCACCTTGTGCGGGGCATCCCGCGGTGCAGGGCTGCTGTGGGCGGCCGGGAGCAGCTCCAGCCCGGCGGGAAGGGGCAGGCGGGCTGTCAGGCTGCTGGGATGGGGCCGGAGCTCCGGGCCAAGGGCCCGAAGGGAAGAGAAGGGAAGAGAGGAGAAGAGAAGAGCCATGGCGAGCGGCTGGCTGCAGGGCCGGGGGGATAAGCTGCCCTAATCCGGGTCACGTTGCCAGCCGTTCCCCGGCTGCGCTACCTGCCGCCGTGGGGCATTCGGCACCATCTGGCGCTTGCCAGCGACGGTGTTACGTGTTCACCCTCAAGAAACCAAAAAAACCCTCATAGAAACAAGCACTCGAGGCGCGGGGAAGGCTGCGTGTGCAGACGCAGCGCTGCCGGGGCTGGAGGCAGCGGGATCTCCGCAGGCAGGAGAGCTGCGGGGCGGCTGCCTGCTGATGCTGGAAGCCCCACGCCGTGAGCGTCGGCCGCCCCATCTCCAAATCCTACCACGGCTCTCGCCTGGGCGGGTGTTACACGGGGGTCGGCGGGAGGAAGAGTGAAAACCCGCCTGCTTGCAGCCCCTGGGGACAGAAAGCACTTGAGAGCGGCAGTGAGCCGCAGCACATGCAAAAATTAAAATCCAAATACGAGGGCACCGGGGCTGAGGTCTCCTCCTTTTGCCCGTCTGATCTACCCTGCCGGGGCAGCGGTCCCACCTTCCCTTACAGGCAGTGCCAGCTATTTTTTGAGCGGCAGGGGATATTGTTTAAGCTGCAAAGAGTGCTTTGAGCTCCAAAATCATCTTTGGCGGGTTTCTTCTGCAGTTTAATTACCCCGCGCCCTCGACAAGCGAGCACCTTCCAACAGCGCCGCTGCAGGTGACATTGCCCTCCACGTGCCAGGAGACCCCAGAGGGGACCGGGTCGGCAGCAATGGGGCTGCTTGGGAAGAGGCAACCTCCTAACAGCACCATTGAGCTCGGTGAGTCCCCGAAAGGCTGCGACTGCCTGTCACCCACGTCCTGCCCTGCAGAGTGGGTTAAGCCAGGCAGATCCATGTCACTGAAAATACCTTCATCCTTTTAATGAAGACCACTCGGCAGCTCTGAAGCGCAGGTCGGGTTCGGTCTGCCGAAGGGGATGGAATGAGATACGAGTGCTAGGGAAGGCAGACGCAGGGACTGATTTGTCCCGTCCCTTTTAAAAGCCGTCGCGATCTGGGGCGATAACCCGCAAGCACCGTCAAACCCTCGTGAGCGGCCGGGGAGCTGCCGGCGGTCGGCAGCAGGCGGTCGGCTGCTGACTGAAAGCACCGAGTCAGACCGTGAGCCAGAGCGAGCCGTGGATTCAGCTGGGCAGAGGCCGTGTTAAAACCTTTGGAGATTTTAACACGGTGTGGCAGGAGAGCTGCCGCCATCGGCACTGTAGGACAGCCTGAACCCAAGCTAAAAAATTTTATCATTGAAAAAACAACAAAAAAACGAGAGTGAAGCTCGCTGCGTGGACACATAGGTGAAGAGGCAGGGTTAGCCGGGCTGGACCCGCTGCAGGCACTGACATTTTAGAAATGGTGGCACAGACAGAAATTGGAGCTGCTGCTCCGGCACATGGACGCTTTCCTCGGCAAACAAAATTGATCCGCTCGCGGCTGAGCTGCTTCGCTCCCACCAGCCAGGCACAATAGCAATGGTCTGCATGGAGTGGGTCGCAGAGGGCGGCTTTTTTGAGGGCTTCTCTGACAAGCGTGTTTCCACACCAGGGTGTTGCAGGGCAGCAGGCTCCTTTATTTATTTAAGCCTTTACTTAGCAGGTACCACAGGTGCTCAAACTCTGCCTTTGGTCCTCTGCAGGCTGTTGGCATGCAGAGGTTAACGAAGCAGGGGCAAACCCATGCACATGCCTGGGAAGGTGCAGAGATTTGCAAACGCGCCCAGTGACATCAGTTTTGTCCAAAGCTGGTACATCTGTAACTGATTGTGGCTCTGTGTTTACGGATCTGGGAATCGGCAGCAGAGGGATTAAAAGCAGCATGTTTAGCTGTGAAAGGAGAAGGTTGCCCTCCCTACACCAGCGCAGTGGCTCTTGCAGGGGTCTCGCTGCAGCACGTCCATCACGGCCGGCATCACCGGCTCTGTAGAAACTGATTGCACACAGCCGGCCTGACGCACATGTGCACGTTGCACAGACATCAAAGCAGCCTCTTAGGCCTCCTCATGGAGCTCCTGCATGCAATCCCACCTCCCCAAACTTGAACCCCTCCAAGGCTGGGCTCCTCACGCCGAGGAATGAGTTTTATCTCAGGGCACGCAGGAACCGGGCAGGGTGGCTCTGCCATTGCCCACAGCTGGTTCGAGCCAGGGGGAATTTGCCGCAGCGCAGTTTTGAAGGGAAAACCTGAATTTTTGGGACAAGCTGGGTACAGGGCGATGTTGCCAAGCAGCCACAGGGTGCAGCTAGAAGTGTGCACAGTCCTGGGGCAATGGTGCAGCTGCTTTGCACGGGGGGTGGTGAGGACTTTATTCCAGTGGTGTCTCGACTTCAACCTGTGTAGACTCGCGGTCAGCACTTATAGATACCATAGGGCAAAGCTAACACTGGAAATCAGCTCTAGCAGTGAAAATGGGCACTGACGCTGTGGGTAAAGACGCTGCACTGGGCAGTGCGTTACAAAACCTGGCAGCATTGGTCTGCAGAAAGTCAATGGGTGCTTGACTGTTGGTCATGACTCACTTGGGTTCCCACAGGTAAGCGGACTTTGGGAGAATTATCAATGTGGTCATTGCATCATCAATGTCTGCATTAAAGGATGCGTTTCCCGCATGGGGATAAAGCCAGCAACCCTCTTTCAGAGCAAACTCTGGGCAACAAACTCTCATTTGGCAAATCTTACAGGATCCTGCCCATGCCACAGACTCGGACCATCCCAGACGTGCTCCCACCATCTGATACGGAGAGGCGAGGAGCCCATGTTTGGCTGCAGCAGCCTGTGCTCTCAAACATCGGAAGCAAACATATCCTTCTTACCCCAAAAATGATCCAGCTGATGGATATTTCCTTAGGCAGACAGGTCTGGTAAGCCTCTGTGCCCCCGTCATACCTGGCTGGGCATGCTGGTGGCTGAGTCGGTGTGCCATGGCTCACGCCACTGTGGGAGGGTTTGCCATCTGGCAAAGCCACGCAGTGATGATGAAGGACATCTAACTTCAGGAACGGTGAGTCATGGTGTGGCCCAAGCTTTATTTTCCTACACCTCTGTTCACTGCTGCAACTCACTGAGCCAGAGCAAATGCCAGAAATAAGCTTGGCTCGATGGCATGTGCGTTACAGTGATGCTTTAGGGGAGCTAGTTTTCCCCTGGGACTCTCTATTTCTTCTGTCTGGATGCTCACGGGTGTCCTGTGGAGCCTTATCTTTCCAAAAATTCAGTACCTCTACCCTGGATTGGGCCTCCTGTTGGCCCTGGGTACGGGAGGGGACCCTCCTGCCCCTGCCTCCCAGTCACTACCTGGTGGATGTGGGTTCCTCAAGGCACCTGAGAGTGAATCTCTTTGGGATCCTCCCAGGAGAGGGATGTTGCACAAATGCCGATGACATAAATGCCTCTCACCCCGGACTCCTGCCTGTGCATTACCAGAGCCTGGTCACAGGTGGGCAGAGCACAGGTCTAACAGCAATAACAGCGGCATCTGACGATGTACGCT